ATATATATATACTAGAATGGTACTCGTGCAATGCATCGAGATTTCATTTCAATGTTTCATTTTATTTTTTATCCATGTCAATATAATATAATTTAATGTGGTTTTAAAAAAACGATAATGTTTTTATTTTTGAATAAAATATAAATTTGAAAATACCATATAAAATTTGTAAAAAATATATTAATATTAGTATCAAATTATCTGTTTAAAAGTTTTTATTTGTATCTTTTTTTAATTCAAAATTTTTATTGTAATTTTTTAATTTATCCTAACGAAGTAACTTAATTTAGGTTTAATAATATATTTTTTATAAAGATAATAATTAAGTATTCTGTTAAACTCAATAATTATCATAATTATATTTTAGAAATTTTATAGTTTAAAATGAAATTTTTATCCTCTATTTGATTATGTTTATCCGCAATTAGTTACACGAATTCAAACATAGAGCTTTAATAAGTTGTACGTATGCACAATTTACTTGTAATATTGAATTTTAAATAATATGAATTAATAAAAAATACATCATGCATAAAAAATGGTTTTTAAGAGTTTTTGTCAAATGCTTTATAATATAGAATATTTTTTATCCATGTCAATATAATACGATTTTATATGGTTTTAAGAAAACGATAATGTTTTTATTTTTAAATAAAAATATAAATTTGAAAATCACATATAAAATTTGTAAAAAATATATTAATATTAGTATCAAATTATATATTTAAAAGTTTTTATTTGTATCTTTTTTTAATTCAATTTTTTTATTATAATTTAATTTATCGTAACGAACTAACTTAATTTAGGTTTAATAATATAATTTTAAGATAATAATTAAGTTTTCTGTTAAAACTCAATAATTATCCTAATTATATTTTAGATTTTTTATATTTTAAAATGAGATTTTTATCCTCTATTTGATTATATTCATCCGCAGTTAGTTACACCAATTCAAACATAGAGCTTTAATAAGTTGTACGTATGCACAATTTACTTGTAATATTGAATTTGAAGTAATATGCATCAATAAACAGTACTTCATGCATAAAAAATGGTTTTTAAGAGTTTTTGTCAAATGCTTTATAATATAGTATATATATATATATATATATATATTGAATAATATATAAATTGAAACTAAGAGGTTGTTTACCCAAACACTTACATGGTAAGTACTTATCAATAAAATTCAATATTATCACTTACTTATCGGGTAAGATTTTAGTCCACTAAAAAGACATTGTATGCAACAATTTACCTGGTAAGCACTAATCATGATAAAAGTCATCGCTCTCACTTACCGGGTAAGACTCTCGGTCCTTGCGTTCGCTCTTACGGAGTAAAATTATTGGTCTTTGTCATATTTATGAAGTAAGGTAATGTAATTCGGTAAGCACTTACCCATGTAAGCGCTTGATAAACGGTTCCTAAGTTTATTGATTTTTATACAATTTGTCTTTAATATCCACATATTTTATTAATATATAATAATATATATATATATATATATATACTATAGTTTCAATTTATATATTATTTTATGTAATGTATTTTCAAACCTTTGTTTTGATACTTGAGAGGTAGCATCTCAAACATTTTATGGGGTGTTTGGTTAGAGACATTAAACGGTAATTAATGAAATGAGAATAAAAGATAATGTTTGGTTTTATATGATATTATGTCTACATTTTCATTTCAGGTTAAATTAGGGGAAATGAACATTCATTATCATTTTCATGCACTGTTGGTTTCATTTTCATTCCTTAATCTGAAACAAATTGTCCTTAGGCATTTGGTTTTAATCATAGAATGCTTAAAAATGTAATAAATTTGGTCTGATTCTCATTTTGTATAACGTACTTATTCTATTATATTTCAGATATCATTTCTAAGGTATCAAAATTAAGGCTTTGAGAGTAAGTTATACAAAAATAAATTGGATCAGAATCTGTTGCATTCTCATGCAATTTGCCTTATTTTTAAAGGTCAAAATATAACAAAGTTTGTTTTAGGGGCCGTTTACCCAAACGCTTCACTGGTAAGCGTTTAGCGGTGAAACTCAACACTCTCATTTACGTTACCGGGTAAGATTATATCTCATCAAGACAACATAGCATGCAACAATTTATCTAGTAAACATTAACCGGATAAGAGTCGTCACCCTCACTTACCAGGTAAGACTCTCGGTCCTTGACATCGCTCTTACCGGGTTAGATTTTGGATCCTTACCATGTACATCTGATAATGTAAGTGACCCAATAAGCACTTACTAGATAAGCGCTTAGTAAATGACCCCTCAATTCTCATCTTTGTAATGATTAACATTTATCTCAGTTAATGCACCAAATGTTTAATACTTTATGTTTTATAAAAATTTGACTGGTAACCGATCCACCTTGTAACTACTTATGACATAGGTGTCATATTGTTATGCAATCCTTGATTACATGGAAAAAATGTTCAATCAAAATCAACTAATGTCATTTTGGCCGAAAACCAAATTGTTAAATGAAATGGGTTACGGGCCGGATAGGAATAATTGAAAGTTTGTTATATTAGATGGAAAAATAAATCGTCGTTATACCAAATGGGATTTATGACAAATTTCAATGTCTTTTGCTTTGTTTTAAACAATAACAACAAAAACAAAAACGCATATACCTTTTCAGTGGACTTAAACTTGTAATCTTACAATTTTAAGAACTTATTTCAATGTCTAGTAAAATATGAATTATTTTGTTTTTTAAAACAAAATAAGAATGGAATTGAAAAACAAATGATTAAATGGCAAAGTCATCTCAAATATACATGTACGTTTCAACTATTCAACATGTTATATGCAATATTTATAGTTGTCTTGTTATATTTGTTGTCACATAGTAATATTATCTTTTTTGATATATATATTTAACATCAAGAAAACCATTATTTTTTACATGCGAATTGAATATAACACATTTTTATTGCCTCTAATTTTATTATATTTTGAGAATATAAGATTAAATAAAAAGTATTTATTTTAAATAATTAAACAAAATAGTGTTTGGATTGTAATTACTATTTCGTTAAAATATTTGACAAATTGTGATTATTTATTAAAAAAAATAATGATATGTGGGTGATTTTATTATGAGATTCATGAGAACTTTTATTTTAAAGTTTTGTTTCACATATTTTTTTTATTTAAATATAGTATTTAATGTATCAATTAACATATATTTGTTTCATAATGTAAAACTTTTTTATACTTTTTATTTCACAAACATACTAGTTCATAATGTGTTTGTTTCAAATAGCATATGACGCAACGGTTCAAAACTCTCACGATCTAGAGGGTTCTCGAAGAAGATCTTTAGGGGTCGTTTACCCAAATGCTTACTCGGTAAGTGCTTACCAGTAGGAATTAACATTATAATTTATTTTTATGGGATAAAAGTGTAGTACATCAAAGCAGTATCATATGCAACAATTTACCCGGTAAACACTTACCCGGGTAAGAGTCATCACCCTCACTTACCGGATAAGACTCTTCATCATGATCATCGCTCTTACCAGGTAAGATTTTTGGCCCTTGTCACGTTAATTTGGTGAGGAAAATTGCCCGATAAATGCTTACCGAGTAAGCGTTTATTAAACGGCCCCTTAATCAAACTTATTATATATTTAACTCTTAAATAAAATAAAAATTACCTAAAAACTAAAAATCTAAAGATCACAAATAGAAGTCATGAAAATGACATGAAAATCTTGTCCACCTCATGTTTGAAGATAAATCCCTACTACCATTCATTTCTTTTGTTTTCAGCAAATTTTATATATAAATTATTTAAAAAAAAATTAAAATACAAATTTTAAATAATTTTATATATTTATAATATATCTTTTTAAAATCTAGTTTAATTAAGAGAATTTTAATAAATCAATGAGTGATACATGTTTTTCTATAAGTATATTAAAATATGTAATTGGAATTGGAGGATAAGAAAATGCAAAATTAATTAAATATGCCAAACAACTTTAACACAACCTTACAAAACCTACAACTGGTGTGCTTGCATTCTCTAGTCTTTCCCAACCCCGTCAATAATTTTAGTTATTTTCTATAAAAATAATTTTTTAGAAATTTACCATTTTTACAAAAATATATATATATATTTTAAACAAGAACAAATTGCATGAAAAAGTAGCGTATTTTAACTTGATTCTTATTTTGGATAATGTACTTTTAAAACTTTCATTTTGGTACCTATGATGTAAAATTTTAAACATTTAAGTATATGGGTAACCGGTTGAAACATTAACCAGTTACCATGTTGATGTAGCGAGTAATGTGGTATCCAACTCAGTATTATTTGCTGAAACATTAACCGAATACCACATCAGCACATGGTAACTAGTTAATGCTCCAACCGGTTGTCTAGGTACTTAAATGTTTAAAACTTTACATCTTAGGTACCAAAATAAAAGTTCTGAAAGTACGTTACCCAAAATAAGAATCAAATTAAAGTATGTTACTTTTTCGTACAATTTACGTTTTAAACAAAGCAATAAGTATGAAATTTTTGCATTTTGTTGTGATAATTTATTTAAATCACTCTTTTCTAACTGAAGTATTTTGTATTTTTTCATAAAATGATTAAAAAAATACAATAATTTTAAAAAACGGTTACGAACTTTAACAACAAATGATCATTACGTTTTTCGTGCATATTTGGAGATTTTCCGACAAAGAATTTTGTTACTTTAGGAGCATGATGATTACGGTCGCCATTCATCAAGGTTTAGACCACCGACTCCCATGTCATTAGGTCACACACTTCCTCGACCTTTCAACGTTGGGCAGACATTTGTCCCCATACATAATCTTATGACTTTGTAAAGACTTGTGTTTTTCGGTAAATAATTGTGTGGAACAATTATTTTATTTGTCTAATTTCTACCATCCACCTCACATTCTTCCTTTAAATAGGGCTCACCCTTCCCTTCAATAGGTCACCTCACCCTTGAAGAAACCATAGCAACATTGTGTGTCTCTCACTAGCCATGGCCACTCACTCCATCACTAGTATCTTCATTTTCTTCCTCATCTTCACCGTCACGTATTCTGATGCTTGTGGCTCATGTATGCCCACACCGTTACCACCCAAGGGTCCCCCAGCAAATCCCTTCTGCCCTAGGGACACACTGAAGTTAGGAGTCTGTGCCGATGTTCTAGGTCTGGTCAATGTAGTGGTTGGAACCCCAGCATCAAGCAAATGTTGTGCACTACTTGAGGGTTTGGTCGATTTGGAAGTTGCAGCTTGTCTTTGCACTGCCATCAAGGCTAATGTCTTGGGAATCAACCTCAACATCCCAATCACATTAAGCTTGTTGCTCAGTGCTTGTGGCAAGACCATTCCACCAGGCTTCAAGTGCGAATAGATGTGCAGCTTGATAGAAATTTATAACCCTTTCGTTTAAATCCATCATTTTCATCGAATGGGTCTCGTCCAAAAAGTGAACATGAAAAGTATTAAACGAGTGGATTATGATTTTTTTTAATGTTTAAATTGTGAATTTGTTAATGGGGCTCTTGATTGGGGTTTTATTTGTAACATGGCTTGTGATATTTCATGTTGCTTGTTTTTTTCTTTGGATTCAGGGTATGTAATGTTTGATTTTGTGTTAATAATTGGGCAATAATTATTGCCTAAGTGTGATGTAATGATTTATTTATCATGATTTTATCAACTTAGAAAATTATAAATTTTATTTGATTTTGTGCATTCTGTCATAATAATTATTGAATCTATTTTAAAGCAAAAAATCAAATTTTCTATTAAAAGAATAAAGAAAAAAGTTGTTATCAAAGGGCCTTTGACATAACGGTATGTGAATCATTAGCTTCCTAGAATGTTAAGTCTTCAAACCTCACCAAAGGCGAACATAATGTATAAATTTATTTGTTTTATTTTGTCGTATATAAATATTATATACTTAAAAAAAAAGAATTGTCACAAATAAACAAAATGGAAACGATTAGAAGTTAAAACATGAAAAAGATTCCAAGTTTGAAAAAACATGTACACTTTTGGTGTAGTTGTCACTTGTAAAAAATAAGAGTAAGTTACGTTTTTAGTCCTTGTGGTTTGTTGAAAATTTTAGTTTTCATCCTTATGGTTTTGGAATTACGATTTTCATCCTTATAGTTTATGATTCATTTTCGTTTTTATCCTCGTGATTAAAACTTTATTACTTTTTTCGTTCATGTGGTTTTCAATTTATTTCTATTTTAGTCTCACATTCTTAAAGATAGTGTTTAACCTTAAGAACGGAAATAGAAATGAATTGCAAACCATAAAGACTAAAACTGCAAATTCAAAACCACAAGAACGAAATCCGAAATTTGTAACAAACCATAGGGAGGAAAAACGTAATTTACTCTACAAATAAAAATATTGATGCAAGAAGGATCATAATCAATATGATAAGTATTAAGTAAAGTATATACATAAAAATTTAAGATTTCACGTCTTATTATGTATCAAAATAAAAGTTTTGAAAATAAATTGCTCAAAATAAAAACATATTTATTTTCATTCAATTTACGTTTTTGTAACTATCAAATATGGGTTGGAAGTAATTGGTTAGATAATGTAAAATTGTCATTTATATTATTTATATCGTTTATTTTAAATTAAAATATAAACAATAATTTATTTTAATTTATATAGATAGCTTAATTTTAAAGGCAACCATTTATAGCGGAACCGTCCATACTGAGTTTGAAAGAGCCAATATCAGTAATAGATATAGATATTTTGAGAATACGCCTTAACGACCAATGGTTAACAATGACTCTGAGACACAATGGAAAAAAAAAATTAGATGATGTTACAATGCATGTGGCATGTTTTGATTTTTATGAAAGGTGGTCCATTTTATTTGGTGTTATGGTCTTTCTTTTGTCATTCGACTTGCTTATTACAAAAATAAAAACATTGTGCTACGAGTTTTTTTTGTTTTGTTTTTGTTTTTGTTTTAGTTCGATCCGTCCTATAATGATCGTTATCTTCCAACAGTAAAATGTCTTATGTGTCCCTCATATGAAAACAATGTGACCATTTTAACTAATGAAATGGGACGTGGCAATAATGTGACATTTTTATCACAATGCTAACGATCACCCTATCACCACAAACTCAAACATAAAAAAGACAAAAATCACTTAATCAAAACAAAAGAATATAAAAAAATATATGATACAATAAAGGACTCGTGTAAATAAAAAACTCTAAATATAAATAAAAAACAAGAAAACACCTGATAGAAAACATGAAAAACTCTAAATCAAAGATCTATAATGGAAACCCTAAATCTTCTTTCTTCATCGACAATAAGGACATTGGCAACAACTAGGGGTGCACAAAAACACAACCCCCCCCCCCAAAAAAAAAAACCCGACCCGACCCAACTCGAAACCCCCAAAAAATTCAAATGTGGTAACCCATAAGTTATTTGATACAAAAAGTCATCAGTCAGCACATATTGGGTTGGAGTTGGGTTAGGCCCAAGGAAATCCAACCTAACTGGTGTCTCATGTTTGCCTTTTTCACCAATTAAGGCTTTACCACATTAGGTCTCCAACAACCCATGCTCCGAGTCTTTAGTAGTCAAACTTCGAGTCTCTAACTTGATAAGAAAAAGGAAGATAGTGTTGAACTGGTTTCTAAACGTAGTACTTATTGAATAGGTTGCATACTTAGGGTTGAGTCATTTGGCTGGGTTGTTTGAACGCCTCTAAACCGACTAAACTAACTCGTAGCAATAACCATGATCTAATTGGAGCCTATAACAATTATATGGTGGCCAATTGATGTTAGGCATAGAACCCATGATCGACCACACGATCCACGAAACTAGTAAAAAAACATGATACAACATGTTTTATTTTTAATGAAATGATAACTAATAGAAAAAAATTACCATTAAACATTTATGTTCTAAAAGGCATAAAAATTGGCAAAGCTCAATCAAAAACACGTCTTGTTGTCTCGATCTACTCAAAGGCAAAAGTAATCGTCTTAATTTCAAATATAATTTGGTCTTAATTTAATATAATAAAAATGATAAATTCTTTATATCTAATCCGGTTTAGATTTTATCATAACTTAAAGTACATCTAAATGGTTGTGATAATTTTTAATAATCATAATAAGATTTTTGTTTTATTATTATATAAAGCATTTGGTAAGAACTTTTAAAAACTATTTTTTATGTATGAAGTATTGTTTATTGATGCATATTACTTAAAATTTAAGATTACAAATAAATTGTGCATATATACAACTTATTAAAGCTCTATGTTTGAATTTGTGTAACAAACTGCAGATAAACATAATCAAATACATAATAAATATCTCATTCTTAAATATAAAAAGATTGAAATATAATTAAGATAATCATTGAGTTCTAACAAAATACTTAATTATTATCTTTATAAAAAGTTATATTATTAAAATAAAAATAAATTACTTTGTTATTGAACAAAAATTAAATTAATAAAAAAAATTGAATTAAAAAGGTTACACAAGAAACGAGAACTTTTAAATAATTAATTTGATATTAATATCGATTTATATTTTTTATTTCAAAATTTTATGATATCTTTAAATTTATATTTTATTTAAAATAAAAACATTGTCGTTTTCTCAAAATCGAGATGCATCTCATTGCATCGCGCGAGTACCCTTGTAGTATAATCAAATGTATTTTTATATCTATACTACCTTATAAACTAGATTTATCAAAAATCTTAAAAACTATTTTTAATTCACAAAATATTATACATTTATGCACAAAGTCTTAAAAACAACTCATAAGACATTAAGTACTACTACTTTATGCATTCAGTCTTAAAATCTCTTAATCTACAATTAAAATAACATATAATACAAGTTGTCAATGCACATTATTTTTTTTCATGTTCCCAAAATACCTTTGACACCTTTCACTCATGCATTCACCCTCTCATACCTCCATGTCTTCTCCCCATCCCCCAAGGTGAAATTCAAATTGGTATTCACCATGAGTTATTAAAAATTATCTTATTCATCTCCCATTCAATTGCTCTATAATTCTCGGTCTCGCTCTCGATCTCTTAGTTTTTGCTCTTGGTGTAAATTGAATACATTTGTGGAGTCGTTTAAATATGTTGGATTTTAAATATATTGGATTTTAAATATATTGGATTTAAACTGTCATACAATTTTTTTCATCGATAGACTATAATTAGAACCATAACCCTTATTTATTCAAATTGTATCAATATGTAAAGACCAAGTGTTAACTTATATCATCGTTAAATCTTCTCTAATAAAACCAATGAAACTTCAAAATCTTTAAAATTCACGGCTCCCGCCGCATTGCGCGGGTACATAACTAGTTTATCTTAAAAGGATGAATTTTTTATACAACCTATTGGATATTTTCCGAATCTAAATGCAACGGTATAAAAATAAGGAAAAAGATCAAAAAAAAAAAAATCAATAAACAATTAAATTTTGAGTATTTAAGTGTCTAACTCTTTTTTAACAAATAAATCCCTAAATTTTCTGAAATGGAACAAATAAATCCTTTAACTTATTAAAATCGAAAAAAACCAAACAAACTTTCATCTTTTGATTGATTAGGTTTCTTAACATTTTATGAACAAATAAATCCTTAGACTTAAATAAAACTAAAAAAAATTACCATTTCTTTTTCCATGTATCAACAAATCAGTAGGAAAGTACAACGAACCAATAAATAAAAGTTACACCATTTTTATTTACCCTTGTTTATTTTTCAAATTTAAATGACAGTCACAAGTGTTTGTTATGATCTTGTGATTGTCATTTGAATATGAAAAATATTTAATCATTATGATTTCTTATTTGAATCGGAAAAATAAATAATGGATAAGGAAAATGGTATTTAATCATTTATTATTGGTTTATTGTACATTGGTAGTTTGGTATTGATCGAGATACATCGATTGAAAAATGATATATTACTTTTATTTTATAAGCATAAGGACTTAATTTAAAAATCATTTAAAATATGAAAGTCCGTTGATTTTATTTGGTTTTAGAAAATTTAAGAATTTATTTATTCGATATCTGAAAGTTTAAAGATTTATTTATTTAAAAAAATCCAAAATCTAATTACTTAAAATATGATAGTTTATTGTTTTTTAAAACTATTCTGTAGAAATAATTAATGATCTCATGTCTAATTCCAGTTTCCACCCACCATAAAACTTATGATCCGATTTGGTTTTAATATGGGCCTTGGGCCGGATTCCGTAGCCCAAAATGAATATAGTTAGTTGTCACCAACATTCACATGTAATATAAAGCGTAAATTGCTTTAAAAAGTAACGTATTTTAACTTGATTTCTATTTTGGGTAATGTACTTTTAAAACTTTTATTTTGATATCTAAGATGTAAAGTTTTAAACATTTAAGTATCCGGGTAACCAGTTGAAGCATTAACCGGTTACCATGCTGATATGGCGAGCGATGTGGTGTCCAACTTAGTATTATTTGCTATTCAATTCAATTTCATCTCATCACTTGCCACATTAGCATGGTAACCGGTTAATGTTTCAACTAGTTACCTGGGTATTTAAATGTTTAAAATTTTACATCTTATATACCAAAATTGGTACTATCAAAAGGTAACCGAATAAAATAGTTGTTAAGTGGAAGTTTTAAATAAAAAGACTAAATATCTTGAGAAGTTAAGAAAAAAGAAGATTTATATGTAAATTATTATAGAAATTCATTTAAAAATACATGCATAAACTTATATGAATAATCCATAATAGTGATTCATATATATATATATATATATATATATATCTTTGTGTGTGCTTGAACACTATAATAACTAGGGGTGCTAAAAAACCCGACCAACCCGATCAATCCAACTCAACCCAACATAAAATAACTTAACTCGAAGCAACCCGATGTCTAATCGAGTTATAAAATTTTCAAACCATAGGTATTGGGTTGATATTGAGTTGCTATTATTTGAACCCAACTCAACCCGATATTCTTTTATTTCTTTAATTTAATATTATCGTTAGATTTCTATTAATATATACATTAGATAGTTACAATATCACATACGCTCTTCATATACATATATTTTCAATCTATTCACATCTCTATATAACATAGCATCAATAGATTGAAATGGATTTTTCTCATTTCTTACATTTTCAAAGTATATAAAAGCATTTTCAACAGATTCTTTAAAATAGAGAAAATAATGTTTTTGTTTTTTGTTTTGCTCCAATAAATTTCTTATATTGTTCTCGAAAAAAAAAAAACATAAAAAAAAAAACTTCAAATTTAAAGAATTATTTAAAACTTGATGACAGACAATAGAAATTAATTTTTTAATCATTTTCTTTAATAAAATTAAACTTATTATTTTATATAAAATAATAAAAATATATTAAAATAATAAAATTATATAATATTTTAATAATATAATTTAACATTGAAATCTCTAAAATCATATAATATGTTAGAATAAAATTTAATTTTATTTTACAGATTACGATTTTTAATTTTTAAAAAATTATAAAGAAAACGGTGGGGAGATAACTAAATATTCATATTGTGCATATAAGGGAAGATTGAACCCACCGACCCAAGATTCCATAATATCTATCTCGGATTCAGCCGTGTTAATGGAGGACTACTAGACCAACATCAACTTCTGTATTGCTATGTCGGGCGCTTCTTGAACTTTGATCGATTTTATCCAATCAATCTCTTCCTCCCATCAAATCCAGAAAGTCTATTAGGAGAATCCATCATTCTTGCCTTGGCGATCAAGCAAAATTCTATATTCGATATCTGAAAAAACTCACAGAGGAATGAAGCATGGGTGGGATTTAATTTGTATTCATAATACTGACGACAATTGCCCTTGCATAGAAGGCGGATTGTCAACTCTGAAGCCTTATTGCTTCTTAGTTTTCTTCTGATTTGGTATCTCCGATCTGATCAATTGAGCGGTCGATCAAAACATTTGTCAGAAACCTCAGTGTGGGTTATTGTCGTCGATACTATCAATGTATTGTTTAATTTGTAGATGAAGTGAGGGTTTTTTATTTTGTAAAACGAAACATATCGGTCGGAAGATGGAACGACAACGGTGGAGTCCTCCAAAACACAGACATGATGGGACGTCACCATTGCCTTTCGGGATGGATTGGAGCCCTCCCCCTAAGAAATGGGTATTGTTAGTTTATTTAATCATTGAATTTTGAATTTTGGTTACTTTTTTTTAATTTACGTTCGCTTTTGATAGAAGAACTGAGGTAGTTCTTTAGTTGTTCGGATGTTTATACAAGTCTGAATTATTTGGGGATTTATAGATTTAATCTGAATTGCATTGCATATATGGTACTGGTAGTCAATTAATCGTATAGGATTCTAGATTTGGAATTGGAGCTCATCTAGGTCAAATTTTGAACTGGGTTTGCTCTGCTTTCAATTTCAAGATTCGGAAGTGGAGTTCCAAATTGTCTTCATTAGCCCAATATATGCAATCATTTTGGGTCAATAGCTGACACTGCAAATATGGCGGGAATGCATCCGAGAAACTTGGTTGTGCTCGCGAAGAGATGTTTACAAGTGAAACAGCAAGCTGTTTGAAACATGGGTACTTTTTTCTGGTAAGGATAATAGTTCTGTAGGAGATTATCCAGAAGAATATTCTGTAACAAGGAAGATAATGGCGTTAGCTTCATTTAAGTTTTAAAGTAGAATGAGAGACAAATTGTGGCATGAGCTTGGAACAGCTTATAAGGGTATTACTTGTGATCTGAAGTCTCGGTTCAAACAATCTCTTTCCACAATGCAAGGGAAAGGCTTTGTACAAAGACTTTGTTCCACAACTTTGGAAAAGTGGAGGAGTCTTGGAGCATCTGGAACACCTTTTTAACAAGAGATACAGCTTGTAGGAATTGTTAAAATATGGATCCTTGAATGGATTGCTCTCTTTAAAAAGTGTGGTGTTATGGTGTTGGATCATCATAATGAAGTCTTTCTCCTGGTAGCTATTGAGGTTTTATAATGTGACAGAGCTTCTATTGGTAGTGATGGGTGATTGAGACAAATAGGAACTTAGTCTAGTTTTTTAAGACATGTTCTGGATATCATGCAAAAGGTTCCATCAGGAAGGAGCTTCTTATCCTACGTTCTAATGTGAAATTGACGCTTGGTAGAAAGTTTTATCCAAAGATAGCTTAATTCTGTTTACTAATAGATAAGCTATTCTGATTTTGGACAATCCACAAAAAGATTCAAACCATTTCTGCTGATGATGCCACACCACGTATGACAGACGACTGGCAAATCTCTAATGTCTTGATTCTGCATACACCACCAGCAAACAAAAACCATTTTTTTGCGCAGCTACTGCCATGCAGACTATGGTATCTGTAAAACACATGCTGGAGGCACTGAGGCATCACAAAGTTGTAAGGATAAGTAAAGCGCCTTTGTTTTGAACATACAGGGTTAGAAGTTTAGTAGGCTTATTTAGATTGAAAATCTTTTTAAATCTGAAAATACCACAAAGGCGAAGAGGTAAGTAACAATGAGCTACTCAATTTATTATTTGGATAAAGTAAATGAAATAGAACTTGAGTAGTTAGTCAGTTATTGGTTACTATTAGATCTTTTGTAGAACCTTTTGCTTTGTTCCACTGGTGGCATCATTTGTGGATTGGCCGCGGGGG